TTGTAATATACATGGTCATGCTTGGTAATGTAAATGTATTTTAACTTATATTTTGGGGATAAAAATATGAAACTTCTATTTTGTTATATTTTCATTTTTTACTCCTACTTTAGAGAAACTACTAACGTAGGAGCTTCATATTTTTTATTTACAAAATAAGAGTTTGTACTGTGGTAATGTGACATGTGGACATGTGGTTCAAGTACTTGTGGTCTTGTGGATATGTAGCGCGACCAGTGAGGGAAAAAATGGTTCTGTGTCACAAATGGCGAGAGATATTTTGGGTATGGCGACGCAAATTAAGTCCTATATGAGGGATTTAAATTTTGGAATCCTATCTAAGTATAACGCGTTGAAGGCGTTAAAGACTTAAAGTCAACTTGACGGAGGTGGACGTCACAAGCATTTCGAGTGCCAGAGACAAATTCAAGATCCATGATGAACTTTGCACAAAATATAAGCAAAAAAATGAGATAAACATGAGGATCTCTCTTCACTTGAATGGTAGAATGTACACTTACCGGATTTATGGAGAAGTTTATGCACACATCACTACAAAAAAACACATGTTAAATTCCAATAATGTATTTTTTAAAAATGTTTTTTTTATAAATAATACAAAATTTAAGTGTTTTTTCTAGAGTGACACAAATTATTATTTTTCAATCATAAATTAGTTCCATTTTGTAGAATAGTTATTGTACAATTTCACAACTTTTTAATATTATTTTAGAAAAAATAATTATTACCAGATTATTGATTATTGAAAAAAAAGAATATGTGTTGCTCTTGAAAAATACTTAAATTTAAAATTTAAAATTAAAAAACCAAAAAAGCATATTTACCTAAAATAATCTCACCTTTCAACGAAAATAAACGTTTTCTAAGAATTCTGTTAAGTGACCCTTACTCTGTAATTGTTCTAACAGGGACGCCAAACTCGACATGTGTCACGCCACACGTGTCATGTCACATGTGTATTACATGCCACGTGGCATGCCGTGCGTGCTTATTAATTTTTATATTAAATAATCACTATTTTTATTATACTTGATGGAATTGCTGACGTTGAAATTCCGCCCGGATTCTTGATTTTTGACATAAGTTATCCTCTCAAGAGTATAGTACTGGAATTTGCTTATCTAAACTTATTGGAGAATATGAAAAAATATTTTTTTTTAGGATAGGGCGTTATTAGCACACACTCTCGAAGTTGTTGAAATGGTAAATGAGTTTGTCCTATTTTTCATTTTTGGTGATGAAAAAGGAGTATTTGAGTTATGATTCTTAATGGCAAGCAGATGCCAATGTAGGTGTTGATGTTGATTGGATAACATTGAATGAAATCAAATGTTCGCATTTTCGGGGATCCAGAACCAAAAAATTGTTTTGAAAAAAAGGTACTGATTATGTTATTTGGATTGTGTAATGGTACAAGATTAATTATTGAAAAGCTACGAAATCAAGACGGGGAAAAGGTTTACTTACCTTGAATAAATTTGGTACCATATGATCAAAGTCTACCCCCTAAAGTTTTAAAAAAGATAATTCTCAATAGTTTTATGTTTTGTTATGACTATTAACAAAAGTTAAGGTGAAACATTATCTTTTGTTAGATTACTTTAACTAAGTTAGTATTCACTTATGGTCAATTTTATGTTGTTGCTTCACGAGTGAAGATAAACACATGATTAAAAATGTTGTATATACTGAAGTCTTTCAAAAAAATTTATATTTTAATAAGTCTTTGTTCTGTACACTTTTAATGCTTCAAATACTATTTATTTTACTTTGACGTTGATGCATATAGTATCAAAAACCATGTAAGAAATTTATTTTCCTTAATCCGCAAAAAATATTACGTACATGGAAAAAAATAAAAATCGACAAAAAAATCGTTCGGCCCCGTGCATGGAACGGGTCAAAATACTAGTTATTGTTAAATAAGAGTAATAAAAAAAATAAGAATGCAGTCATCTTAAAAAACATATCAAAAACGGACGAGACTATTGAAGAAGACATGAATACTAAAGTGTGTCTCTAGTTTGTTGTGATAATATTTATTGACTTATTTCTGATAAATAGTATATTTTTGAATTTTTGAATTGTTTATTGATTTTTTTTGAAGTGAGTTAAATGAGAGATAAGTCATTATTATGAATATTCATAAATGATTAGTTATATATTTTCATAAAAGAGTTGCTCAAAGTTAAGAAATAAAAAACTGGTTTAAAAATAAATTAATTAAACCTACTTATTTTTTATTTAAAAATAACTAGTTTAAAAGCATAGAGAAATATGTTATCAAGGCGTGCCTTTAAAATAAGTAATTTTGATGTAATTTTCAAATTATGGCATACACATCTCATTCTAATTGATTACTCCTTCCGCCACAAAAAGATGTTCTCGTTTCTGTTTTTTACGCATCCCATAAAACACGTCTACACACATCTATAATGTTTAAAATTCACTGCACTCCTACTTTATTGCGAGTAGAAGTTGTTTTGAAAGCTTTTTAGACATTTCAGTTGTGGGATTCAACTGGTTTGTTGTTGTTTAGACATTTCAGTTGGGGTAGAAGTACTTTATGGGATGTGCAAAAAAAACAGAAACATCCTTTTTGGACGGAAGGAGTACAAAGTAAGAACAAAATTAGAAAATAACACCAAATATACTCATTTTATGGGCACATCTTTTCTAAACAGGAAGACTTTTATGGGAGAGAGGGAATATTTAATTGAAATATTTGCTGCGCCTCTTACCTGGGTTTGCTGGTTCTTTTGATTAACGCCAAAGTTTCCATACAACATATATGGCTAAACAAACTGTAAGTAATATAAAAACCCCAATCCCCATTTTCCCGGCGAAGGTGTCTTCCCGTACGACTCATTGTCGCCGTCGCCGGCATTGGAGTTTGAGATGTGAAGGAACAAAAGAAACACAATTATGAGTATTATTTTCTTCATTATATTTTTCTGGTTGTTCTTATTTAATTTCCAGGTTTTCTAGGGCAGATATATAGATAGATGATAGATATAGAATAAGGTTTGGTTGCCTTTGCGTAGATTACTCCATTATTTACTCACTCATGACACACTTGGACTAATTTGATTTTGTGAGTTTTTTTGTGCCTTGGCAAGTGAGACGTCTTTTATACTCTCTTCGTCTCGAAATATTTTTTTAATTTTTGATTTTTTATAGTAATCCACGATCAACATTTGACCTAAGATTAAATAAAAACTAGATGGAATACAAATGGAGTAAACTCATACTCTCTCTGTCCTATTTTTTAAATCAAAAAGGAGGGGAGACCCAAACTAACTCAGGTGCACTCTACGAACTCTGGTAGCACCCATCATGTCATTAGCAATGATGTCATCCATCCCAGGCGGAGGGTCCTCGTGGAATACAAACTACATGGAATACAAATGGAGTAAACTCATACTCTCTCTGTCCTATTTAGTCCATATTAATTACCAACTACTCCGTATGTACTACGTATTATCTTTGCAGTCTTTATTCATTGGGCACCCTAAATCGACTATCAGGGGGAGGGGCAAGGTGGGATGTCGGGGGCATGGGACGGTTCTGGAAATGAGGTAATAAGAACAATCAATTGTACAATTAAAACATTATAGATGTCCGAAGTCATAATAAAATTATCTGGTTTCAAGGTCAAAAGATCTCTACTAATTTTATTAAGTTCATTCTTATTATATTACCTTTTATATAGAATTATGGCGCCACATTGTCGCAGAAGAAGGCATTATGCTTTATTTTTACTTTGGATGATTTATTTTTAAAAAATACCTAAAAGACCATTTTAGGAATTAAATCTTCTAGTAGTACTCGTAATTAATATTTTTTGCCAAAATGGTACCCCTACTTTGGATGATCATTTGTGATTCATTTGTGATATCACTCCTTGTAAAGCCATAAAGAGAGGCAGCTTTTTATTTTGGACATCCCAAAACATCACTCTTTGGAAAAATATTTGTTTTTTAATGTAGTCAACTATACTAATTTTTATAATTATCAATAATTTATTTATTCTTTTATGAATTTCAAAAAAAATATTTATATATATTTAACTACATGTGCATCATTATTAAAATTATTTTTTATTTAAAAAAATTATTTTCTATTTTTAGTAGATATGTTTTCCTATTTTATTATTCAAAAAAATTATGCTTTTATTTACACGACAGAGGAAGTATATAAAGTAGGCAATACTCCAAATTTAGTTGTAGTGTTGAAATGTACAGTTTTGCAATCAAAAAATTGCTGTCAGGTGATGGGATTAACCCGATCAGATGGCGGACCAAGAACGGAATATGAATTAGGAAGATATAATTACTCGATAATATTCTTTGATTAAGTATTGAATTGTCTTGTTGTGACTTGCTTTACAATGGCGGGTTTTCCCCTTTTTATAGTACTTTCTAATATTCTAATTAAAATTACACAAAATGGAAATGGATCATGGAGATCATGGGGTTGTGATTCCCCTTCTTTCCGGTCTCGTTCTCTTTCCATTTCGCCCATAACTCGACGATGTGGGCCACGTGTCCCATTCCTCCTTTGGACTGGGTCGCTTTGATCTACCTTTTGTTTGGGCCGTCTTCCTCCTCTTGCAAAATACGGGATGACGGGCTTGGCCCGTCATCCCATCTGGTCTTATTCCTTTTGGGCCATTATGGGCCTCCATTTGGGCCCGAAGTCGGGTCCACCAGACCCGATATCCATCACAAGCCCCCTAGTTTTCTGGCGACGTGTCGCTAGAAAACTAATGATGAGCCGCCTTCGATCTTCGTGTCGGATTAGAAACGTCGCACTCGAGTACCTCGGGTCCACCTTTCAACGGATAAATACCCCTCCTGGACTCATCTTCTTCCTCTCGCCACTGAATCTTAACCCGACCCGAATTCCGACTGCAATTTCCCCAAAATCCTTGTCTTCTTCTCTGTAATGGCCCCTACAAACCCCGAAACCTGGGTCCACGAACCCTCAATTATCAAGGAAAACGAACTTCGGGAGATGGACGTGCTCCTGGGCTAGGGCTTCCGGGTCCACCATCCCGATGCCGTTGGGGGGATTAGTTTAACCTACAATCCAAATCCCAAGAAATATATGGTCATGCAGTACCACTCTGTGGAGAATGGATTTAGGTTGCCCCTCCACGGCCTGCTCCGCGACCTCTGCCTCCATTTTGGATTTGCTCCGGGCCAATTGACTGCCAACGCACACAAGTATATCGCGTCCTTCATCCTACGGTGCTGTGCCCTGGACAAAACCCCGACACTGGACGAATTTCTTCTCCTCTTCAGCATCGGTGGTTTTCCCTTTTACAGTCTATACCCCCACCATCATTTTCCTATTTTTGAGAAGGTCGAGCTCAAGATCGACAAATGGGCGCTTAAATACTTCGTCAATGAATTCCCGGCTCACAGCCCCATCGATCTGCCGGGTGTTGTCCTCCGCCGTTCCATCTCCCAGACGAAATTCGCCTCGACAAACTTGGCGGAAGGCACGTATAATGCTCTGAGAGAGAAGGAGGGTTTAATTTCCCACCACTCTCTCCAAGAGGCTAAACTGTACAAAAAGGCAGGTTTCTATTATCCCCTGGGTCCTGACCCGATTCCCTTTGAGGAGGTACCCTCCCCCGAGAGATCGAAAGCTCCTTCTGCTGCAGAGTCCAACCCGGCTGCAAGCTCTTCTGGAGATCGGCCCCAAGGTGGTTCCACTACCTTAGTTGTGCGCAATCCGGATGCTGCTCTGAATGTTGTTCCTATCTCTGCCATTCCCGGACTCAGGAGGCCCACTCCGTCCCAGAAACGGCCAAGGGTGGGAGTCACTGATGATGACTTCCTACCAAAAAGGAATAGGGGTTATAATATCTCCGTTTCACCCAGCCCCCTGTCAACCTCTTCTAGTCCTCAGAATTCTTCTTCCGCTGGCACTCCCGGAAGTTTAGGGCTGGAGCTACCCAACCCGGGGAATCTGGACCAGGAAGCAGATGAACCTCCATGCCAGGCGTCACTCACAAAACCTGCGGTGCAACCTCCGCCCGATGCAAACAATTCCCCTCCTCAAACCGTATCTGCCCCACTAGAACCGGAGGAAAAAGCTGAAGGGCAGAAAGAACCAGAGTCTTCTCTCGCAGCAGAGGATGAAGTTGAAGTGCGGCTGGAAGCAGAAATCTCCCACCTAGAGGATAATGGGGCTGGAGAGCAGAGAGATGCTGGAGCTCCCTCAGAGATGGAGAGAGAGATTGGGAATCAACCGGAGCAGAAGGGACAGGGTTCTACGGCCACACTCCCAGCCCCCAATATCCCCATCCGGCGTAAGTTCACACCGCAAACTTACTCCGCTTTTACCGAGGGTTGGGAAGGCCTTTCCCGCGGTTTGAGATCCCTTCAGGCCTCCCACTGGAATATCCAGGCGAACCTGGAGAGGATGAGGGACTCAGTGCAGGGGCCCACAACTCTCCAGCCTCGCCCCAACCTGCTTGCCCTCAATGCCCTGCACTTTATGGAGCAGGTACTCTTTCCTTTCGGAATTTTCCTTATCTCCTTTTAGGTTAGTCCTTTTCCTTGACTTCCCTATCCTTCTTTTTAGGCCCAGCAATCACTCCTCACTTTGACTGAGGAGTACCTGGGTGGAGCATCAGGGAACTTCCAGGCTGCAATGCTCCTGTGGGAGAGGGATCTGGCTGCCAGGGCATTGCAACAAAAGGTTGACTCCTTGGAGCAACAAATCCAGGTCCTGCAAGGGGAGAATGCCCGGCTCCAAGCAGATGGCTCCGCGGAGCTTGCAGCTGAGAGGTCCAAGGTCCAGTCCCTGCAAGATCAAATTGCTAATTACCACAAGGAGACCCAGGATCTGGAAGTGCAGTTCGATAGATTCCAGGCTCAAATCTCAAATCTGGAATCAAGGGCCTCACCTTCAGAGGGCCAGGTAGGAAGCCTGCTTCTTATTCTTAAACGGTTTCTTTGTTCCCGACTTCTCTTCTTCTTTAGGAGTCTTCTCTTTCTTCTCCTCCTTTCTTTCTTCCAAGGTCACATACCTCCCAGCCCGGACCATCGCTTCTTCGAAGGTATCCGGGGGATGTGTAGTGAGATCGGTGTGAAGGAGTCCATCCTGTAATGCCGCCGTGAACATAGCCAACCTGGACTTATCATCAGTTCCTTCAACTTCCCTGGACTCTTTCCTCCATCGGATAAGGAAATTCTTCAAGGATTCTCCGTGCTTCTGTCGCACTAATGCCAAGTGAGTGAAATGCTTTTTGGGGTGGCAGTTCCCAGCAAAATGCTCTAGGAATCGTAGTCCCAATTCATCCCACGTTCGGACTGATCCGGCAGGGATATGGTTGACCCAGTCTGCAACCTTGCTATCAACGGTCTGCAAGAAGCATCGACACATGAGTGCGTCACTGGCGTCCATGGCGATCATCACTTGGACATAGCTATTTATGTGCTCTTGGGGGTCTGATTCGCCGTCATAACGCTTGACAAATGGCATTTTGAATCCCTGCGGATATGGTTCCGCAAAGATCTCTGAAGCCAAGGGAGTATTCGTTCGAGTAGTGAATACTCGACCCTTGTTTATCTTCCTCTGCATCTCCTGGATCTGCTGTCTCAGGTCTTGAAATTCACCAGCTTCCGGCACCGGCGGTCCCAGACGCCGCGGTGCTGGGACCCTGGCTTGGCTTTGAACCTCGTCCTCCTCCAGATTCCGCAATGACCGGACCGGCATTTGCCTTACGCCTCGGTCATTTCGCTGCCGGGGTTCGCGATTGGAGGACGCCACTTGGCTGGCCTGAGACCGTATCCAACCCTGGGGTGCCTTTTCCGGATTCTTCCCCAGCCTCTCACTAACGTGAGCTTTCTAGCGAGATATCCTTTCAAAGACAGATCCCCGCGGATTTTCGTGTCCATCGCCGAAGATCCGGCTTGGATCCTTAGCCTGGCCTTCGTTCACCTTGTTGTTTCGGGCCAATTCCTCCGCCCGGCGTCTGTCAATGGCTCGCCTTTCCCTCTCAACCTCCTCCGGATCGTGGAGCTCCTGTAGGATAGGAGAACTCGCAGTACGCAGGACCTGGCGGGGTTGCCCGGGTGGGATATCCCGGGTTCCGGATGGACCTGGAAGAGCCTTATCCAATCGCTCCATAATGTTTGCCATCATGTTAGCCACATTATTTAGCGCTGTTTCCAACCCATTGACAGGAACAATCATACCCTGCTCAGGGTTGTCACTCCTCACCGTCAACTGGGCAGAAGTAGCAGGGTTACGTCTCGTCCTTCGTCCGGCCATAATCTCACAGCCTTATCTCACAGTATTCTCTCAATGGAAGCACCAATGATGGGATTAACCCGATCAGATGGCGGACCAAGAACGGAATATGAATCAGGAAGATATAATTACTCGATAATATTCTTTGATTAAGTATTGAATTGTCTTGTTGTGACTTGCTTTACAATGGCGGGTTTTCCCCTTTTTATAGTACTTTCTAATATTCTAATTAAAATTACACAAAATGGAAATGGATCATGGAGATCATGGGGTTGTGATTCCCCTTCTTTCCGGTCTCGTTCTCTTCCCATTTCGCCCATAACTCGACGACGTGGGCCACGTGTCCCATTCCTCCTTTGGACTGGGTCGCTTTGATCTACCTTTTGTTTGGGCCGTCTTCCTCCTCTTGCCAAATACGGGATGACGGGCTTGGCCCGTCATCCCATCTGGTCTTATTCCTTTTGGGCCATTATGGGCCTCCATTTGGGCCTGAAGTCGGGTCCACCAGACCCGATATCCATCACCAGGTATCCCCAGTTTTGTGGTAAGAACTACTGAGTACCTCCAATTTTGAAAATATACTCCCAGGTACTCTGAATTATAAAAAAACATACTAAGAGGGGATTTTCCATCCATTCAAGTTTTTCCGTCAAGTTCATCATCATCATCATCATCCACCACCACCATCTCCATCTTCTTCGGTACGGTATTCCTCCTCCTCTTCTTCTTTGTCTTTTTCTTTTTCTTCTTCTTTCTTCTCCTCCTCCTCCTCCTCCTCCTCCTACCACTCTTAGCTTGATCTTCCAAACCCCCAACCCCTCACCCATATTTCTTCTTCTTCTCCTTCTTTATTATTATTATTATTATTATTATTATTATTACTATTATTATTATTATTATTATTATTATTATTATTATTATAAGGGAAGTGTAATTTTGATTGACTTTCCAATTTTGCCCCTGATGTGATGGGTAAAAGTAAGATGTAATAGTTTGGTTATTAGTGAAAAAGTATGATGTGATAGGTAGGGTATGAAAAAGTAGGGTAAAAGTGGTTTTTTAATAGAAAGTGGAAGTGTTTTAGGGAATTGGAAAAAAACAAAAGGGGAAGAGTTTTATGGAACGGAGGGTGTATTATTTATTTATTACAAAGTACTCCGAATAATTTTCTTCTACCTCTATTATTTATTATTATTATGAAGTAATATTTTCTTATTCTTCTTTTATTAATATTGAAAACTAAATAATAGTTTCACTATTATTTTTAATAATAATAGTAATAGTAATACTAATAATAATAAGATAATAATAATAATAATAATAATAATAATAATAATAATAATAATAATAATAATAATAATAATAATAATAATAATAATAATAATAATAATAATAATAATAATAATAAAAGGAGAAGAAGAAGAAATAAGGGTGAGGGGTTGGGGGTTTGGAAGATCGGGAGTGGAAGGAGAAGGAGGAGGAGGAGGAGGAGAAGAAGAAAGAAGAAAGAAGAAGAAAAAGAAAAAAAAAAAGAAGAGGAGGAGGAATACCGAAGAAGATGGAGATGGTTGATGAGGATGATGATGATGAACTTGACGGAAAAACTCGGATGGATGGAGAATGGATAGAAAATCCCATCTTGGTATGATTTTTTATAATTCAGGGTACCTGAGAGTATATTTTCAAAATTGGGGGTATCTGGTAGTTCTTACCACAAAATTAGGGGTACTTGACAGCAATTTTTTGGTTTTGCAATACTTTAGGTATGACATTGTATAATTGACCATATAAATATCACAAATATACAGTTTATTTATATTAAAAAGAAATAAATAAAGAATAACAATTAAATAAGCGTATGTATAGAGTAATTAAAATAGGACTTTAGATCTTCAAGAATTACATCTATGAAAATAGTCAAATTCTATGGTGGACCAAAGGTCCATCATGCACTAATATATGAACAAAATAAGCATTTTCTTACTACTTAAAGAATCATATGTTTTTTCAATATAAAAAATTTATAGAAAATATTTTTTATGTGAGAAGTTCCACAAAAATTGTTCAAAATTGCATTCAAAATTAGTAAATAGGTTTATAAGATAAATAACTATTTTGTAAGCTCATTTTTCTTATTTCATCCATATTTTTATTTTGTTTTTCACTATTATTAAATATTTTTTCCAAGTATTAATAATTTTTTGTGCATATACGATTTTCATTTATGTAATTGTTCCAAAATTAGTGATTTTAATGTTTAAAAAGTAATCACAAGTTTTTAGACAATTAGCTAAGAAGAGGTTAATTAACCTATAATCTCAGTCAGTTGCCGTAAAGCTGGAGTTTCGTGTCTGATACTTACATAAGTCTCATGTTTTGTACGATTGTCTCTCATCGCAGCCACCATGCTTTGAATTCGGGATCTCTCCCCTTGAGCATTCCTATGTACGCCTCACCCGGCATAAATAACTCATTCTACACGTGCCACGTGCCGGTCACACAATTTGCACTTTGCACCGGAAGCGCCAATTCCGAAAGGTCAGTTACACAAGCTTCAAAGGGAAAGAACGGAATCGGGCCCCACACGGAAGGATTGGGAACGCCGCATTTTCTTCTGCATAACAAATCCAATTTTCTGCAGATTGACGAACGGGATATAGAACGCTGATATTTCTTCTACCTGGGAAAGAGAGAAGATTTGGGATCTTGTCTTGGCGACCCCAGGTGCTGTTGAGGTTCGTATCGAATTCAGCACTGTAAGACGATAAGAAAGCATTGATTTTTGAGGTCTGTGCGATATGTTTTGATCAAATTAAGTCTGGGATTAGGGTTCGCGATGAATGTTTTTAATGTTAGAAGGCGCGATTTTGTTATTTCCAATTTGTTTTTATTTGTTCTGATGTTTGCATGCCGTGGGTCATGTTCCATGCTGCAGTTTTGAGTTGGATTGAGATAATTCTATATATGTGCTCTATCATGTTTGTTTTTAAAAAAAAATGATATGTTTGTTAATCATATGGTTTCCAAGTGCTTCTTATGATGTTGAATCACAGAGAAGTTTCGAAGATCGATATTTGATTGGAATCAACTTAGATCAATTGCAAGTTTTTTTTTGTTGTAATTGTTGTTGTTTAACCCTGTCAGATGTTTACTAACTAAATGACCACACATATGAAAAGTGATCTCTGCAAAATTGATAATGTTATGAAATAGCTATGCATGATATTGAATTATCATCTTGGCCAATTAGAATATCACTTGGGGATGCTGCTCCTTCTATCCCTTAAGTATCTTTACGTTTTACACTCAAGGAAAGTAGTATTTGGTTCACACTTTCTATCGCTTCTAAATATATTTTGAACACACAATATACTACGGAGTATTTCTTAAACCGGCAATGATAAAGGGACAAACTGACTATACTGACGATTCTACGGCTGAAAAAGTTAGGAGTGACTCGAGGCTAGAGCATGTAGGTAGAGCTCATATTAAGATTTCTTTTATTTGTGCAAGTAATTCCGACACACTGGTAGTTGCGTTGCCATGATGAATTTGATGGTGGCAGTGCATCATTGACTTTAGTCCGTGCATATGACATGAGGTTGCTGGATTTTTGCGCGAGTCTGAGTGCTGGAAGTTGAAACCTCTCATGGCGCAATCAATGCAACAACTGATCAAGTATTATGAATTAGGCACTTGTTGCAGTATGTGACTAGATTAAAAGATAGATAAAAGAGACAATGGAACGCTTTAGAGTTCTTTGTCACCTGTAAAATATTAGGAAGTTTTTCATCATTCCTTTTTATTCTAACTTCATTGCCTGAATATTGTTACAACCAAATTACGCTTATTCTCCTTTTGTTTGGATATAGTTATCCATGTTATTTTTGTTTTCTCCAAAATTAGTTGTTCACTTTCCAAATTCAATAAAAAAAGAATATGATGAAGTGCCTAAAATATCTTAGGTATAAGGTATAATCATTCTTGACATGATTGTGTGACATACTTGAATGATTTAGTTGACATTTTAAACTCATTTCTTAAAAATTAGGGTTTTTAGAAAGTCGACAAGTAAATCCGGACACAGGGAGTATACTACTATGTGCTTTCTTAAACAACTTCTAATTTTTTCCGGTCATACCTAAATAAAGTCTGCTTTTCTCATTTTCTAAACATAATGTTCCTTTATTTTTGCCCCTCTCATTTAACATTCCAACCTGCCATAGTCACTTAGTCTTGTCCACATATATTGTGACAAAAATATATAGCAGAGGATGAGCTTGTTTGAAAAAAATAAAATCAAATAAGCAACTGGACAACTGAGACATCTGATAGGTTTTGGATCTCTGTCAAGTGCATTGTTACTATTCACATTGTCTAATTGATTTCCCCTTGTAGGCTTGTATCATGCACCATGTTCCCTTCATAATGGGATGTCTACAATGCATAGAAATACAGATATTGATTAACCTTGCATTTCATTTTAAGGCTTTTTGGTTCTAAGATTTTTACTTGTTGCAGTTTGCATACACCAATCTAGTCACAATAAAATGTTTTGGGAATTGGGATGCAAGTATTTCAAGGATGAAATTCTGTGTTTACATTTTTTCAGAGATCCAATTGTGATTAACAATAAATGACGTCTTCTGAGGTAGATCCTGATGTGGTTAGGTGGGGTCTCCATCTTATAGATGTTTGTACTATCAATGATGGTGGTTCTCCTGTCACCATTACTCAGTATGATGAGGACATGTCTCAAACTGAATTTATTAGAGAAGGTTACTGTGATACTTCAGCTTCACAGTTACCTCAAACTGAGTTGATCGGCAAAGGTTACTATGATACACCACATGCTTATGTGGAGAATGATGAGATAATTGCTCATACCCTTCAAGAGGAATTATCACGAATTGCAGTTGCTGAATCCTCAGGATCTTCACATGATGAGGAAGAAAATCAGAAAGAGTCTGTTCTTTCTCAGGATTGGCTGGGATCGTCAAAGAGACACTGCGAATCCGGTATGCAAAAAGAAGAGATATATTTATGCCTACCTTTTCTGTGTCCGCTTAATATATTTTAATGGAACACTTAAAATGGTAGGCTGTGAAAGAAGTTATGAAGATTCAGCATACAATGACATATTCGCTCCATATTCTAGTCCTGTTGAAATTCCAGGCTGTCCCAGTGATCAAACTTATTTTCCGCAGATTGAAGATGAATCCACTCTTGATGGTGAAGTTGGCAAAAGATTGAACCAGATGGTTTCTGTTCCTGTGAGTATACTTATTTGTGTGCATCCTGCGAATCAATTTACTAGACACTTATTTGGATAATAAAATCCAAGATTTTTTTAAATTTCATCTCTTCTCCTTGGGGTAAACCAGAAATGAGAAATCACACTAAGTACTTCTTATACATAGTAAGACTAGCAACTATGGGGATAAGAAGGTAAAACTAGTAATGTGCCAAATTATAATAGTTGTTTTGGCAAGCTAATTGATAATTATATTTGGATAGTAAGGCACTCCTTATTCTCTGTGCACAGAGATTGGTTATCCGCTCTTTTGTCAACTAGCTATAAGCCCAAAGGGTACACCTCTATTTTAACAAGTAGTTTTTTTTCTGTCCACAAGTGATTGAATATAATATTCCTCTTTCAATTATTGATCATTGTCAGCATGTTCCCAAAATTAATGGAGAAATACCTTCAGTTGATGAAGCTACTTCAGATCATCAGAGGCTAATGGACAGGTGCTTTGAGTATCTTCTGATATATTCTTGTTTAATTACTCCTTATAATTATTGGGAATTGTTGTTGAATGAATGAATTATTTACTGGACCCTTTTACTTAAAGAATATCATTTATTCCTAGTTGGGGTGCATTTTTTATGAGCAATGTGGATACAATTGAATTCCTTGGCATAGGGGTTGCAGGTTTTAATATCAAGGAGTTTGAAGATAAAGTTACAATTATATGCTATGGATATATGAATATGTTGGAAATCAAGTAGTTGGGATGTACAACCACTTTATGAAAACAATAGCTTTTTAGAGTTATCCCTCAAGTTTTTTCATTTGTTCTATTATACTTTAATATTTTTTTACAAAGTTACAAGCGCTTCTTTCTCTTCCAACATTCAGGCTCGAGCTATATGAACTTGTTGAGTCAAAAGTTTCAGGAGATGGCAACTGCCAGGTTAGTTGTAGGATGTGATATGACTTCCATAATCTGTTTGGCTTTAAGCTTTACCTCACCATTATAGTGCTCTTGTGCCTTTTCAGTTCCGGTCACTATCAGATCAAATATATCGTACCAGTGAGCATCATAAATTTGTGAGGGAACAGGTTGTCAAGCAGGCAAGTATTCAATATGCCTAAGACTTATTATTTCAGAGTGAATATCTTTGCTTTAGTTGATGACAAATTATCAAATTAGATGTGTAATATTGTCATTTATCTTTTCCAGCTCAAATCCCACCCCGAGTTGTATAGGGGTTATGTTCCTATGGAATACGATGAGTACCTTAAGAAAATGAGCAAGTATGAAGAATATGCAAATCACTGTATTTGGTTGCTTTGATTTTCATGCAGTACTAAATGCACTAATACATTATTCTTTTTCTTTTTGAAATGATGATAGGAGTGGTGAATGGGGTGACCATGTCACATTGCAGGCTGCTGCAGATGTGGTATCAGCTGCTTTCTTTCTCTCGTGTAATTTTTGCTTGGAACCTTAACTCAGAACACCTTTCCTATGGAATTTATGCATTGAACTTCGGAACATGCTACAATCATTTAATAGCTGTTATAATCAGTAAGAAACAATGTAATGTCATTTCTAGGTTTAGGGAACATAACCTAGTCATTATGGATTGTAGTAGGATCTTAGCTCGGGAGCAATGAAAACAGGCAACCATTAGGATTAGAGTTTTCTGTCTGATCTTTTGAGGGTAATTGAGTAACATAGCCTTAATTTATGGGGACATTTGGTTCCAGTTAATTGACATTACGGTAATGGGAAAGTGACACAACCTGATGAGTTTTTTAGTAACAAGACTTCTTCAAACTATAGATTTGCTTGATCCGGCATCAAATGAGAGCTACATGCAAATAGAAATCCTTTACACTATGTTTATTCAAGGAATTTAGAAGGAAAAGAAAAGAAAATAGTTTTCTCTCATTTCCCTTACCAAAATAGGAGAAATTTAGTTTTCTCTCTTAATAGATTTTGCCTTCTCATTTCCATTTCTTCCACTTTTCTTTTCGTTTCCTCTCAAACAAAACAAGAAAACTTATTTTCCTTTCAAATTCCTTGAACCAAACGTACTGTTAGTAAGTGTTCACTTGCTTGGTATTCCAAATCACCGTTGGTAACTTAAGTGTTGTATTTTAGGTTTTGTACTTTTGAAAACGTGCAATTAGTTATATCATGTTCAAATGACTAGGTTTGGAATTACATATCCAGTCGTTCACCAGTACTAATGCTAGACTCATTTGTTTGTAATAATTTGTTGGTCTTTATCTTGGGGGCACATATTGGAAAATTGAATTTTTTTTTGCAGTATGGTGTGAAGATATTCATCATTACATCATTCAAGGATACATGCTACATTGAGATACTTCCACACACACAGATATCAAAGAGAAGTAAGTTTGCTGTATGCCTTGTAACTTCAAACTCATTCACAGTTATTGGGCAGAAGTGCATTATAACTTCAAACTCATTCATTAATTACTTTAGTTGGGTCGGGCCGTTAATCCTTTCTTTATTGCAGTTATTTTCTTGAGTTTTTGGGCAGAAGTGCATTATAACTCCATATATCCACGAGGAGGTATTTGGATTAATAACAACAATACAATTTCACATTTCTTAAATTTACGTGTCATCATATTCCCGTGTCCCAAAAAAATAGCGAGACAAATCGGAGTATTATTGTGGGACTGCTCTATAGCTTCTTCTCTTGCAATGCAGAGTTGCCAATAGTTGAGGGTGACAAGAAAAAGAAGAAATGGTGGCGGCTTGGGAAAGACTGACTTTTTAAACTTGTGTGAGGCAAGTCCCTCCCTCTCCAGTCTCTCTATTTGGTGGCTCTCTCTAAGTTCTCTAGTTTGGGAAGGACTGAAAAGAAGGGACAAACGAAAATCAGCTTGATAGGATTGTGTATATAAGACCCCCCCCCCCCCCTACCTCCCATCTGTATAGCAATTTTGATTTACTGTCGCTGTCTTATCATGTCTTTACAATTTGTAGAAAAACATGCAATACTCAGTGCTAGCAACTTAAAAATTGATACACACACACACACATATATATTCATTTGTTCTTTTCAGTTCAGTTAGTCTTCTGCTTAGTTGGAGGTGTATGCTGCGAAATTATCATCTCAAACCCAACCATTGTTTCAACTATTCTTTATTGAAGTTTCATAATCCATTACATGTGTCTCCTTGACCAGTGCACAGAAAAACATGCATTAAAATAAAAATGCAAAGCCAGCTATCACTTTTCTCCTTATTAGAGTGAGTATTGGAAGTACGTTTGAAGCTCGGAGCTTCCTTGTCCAGCTATCAGCTATCACCTTCTTAGTGGTTTCTTCGTTTTTTTTCAACGTCAATTTTTTCGTTCGTAGGCACTTCCTCGTCTGGACTGTAATGACAAATTGCAAATCCGTTGTCTTCTATTATCATATTATGAGGAATAATACATGTGTACATGATTTTCTACATTTTTTGTTTGAGAATAACACTTGGACAAGCGATCTATAATGTGCCACTTGCCTCTCAACAACCCGAAGGCTTTTTCATTATCCTTTGTTGCCGCCTCCTGAGCTTTTTTGTACGTCTGTCGTTTAAGACTGATTGGTTCTGGGATGGCTTGGATAATTGAGAAATAATGTGGATATATTCCATCGGTAAGATAATATTCACGCTTGTAAAGCGTCTCTGTAAGCTCAAAAGACAAGTTGGATGCACGCTCATTAACCCAATCGTCAAACACGCGCGATTGATCAAGAACATTGATGTTGTTACACAAAAAAAAAGTATGCCAAAATCACAAAAGTCATTTGAAGCTACTGCTTCAAGCATAATACTAGGCTTGGGATGATCACCCCGGGAGAACTGATCATTGCCACCCTGTTGGACAATTTTTTTCATTTCCAACGCATGCAATCGATGCTCCCAAGCATGCAGACAAAGTCATGTTTAAAGGCATGCATTGCCGGTAACTACTCAATGTCGCTTGTCATCGGCTTATGTAAATACCTCTTATGATATAGTCGAGTAATAGCTTTAGAAAATTTATAAACACATGACCTGATGTTTTCGAGCCGACATCTTCAAGTATTCAATATTCATTGAATATTTTACTAGCGGTCCCATACGGCATCTGACGAAGCGCGATGATGCACATTTGGACGCTGCTAAAATTGCGTCAGTCTCTCGTATCAAACTGTTGTGTGAACCAAGGCATCTCGCGTTCAATATTGGTGAGTATGGGACTATCACGGTTTAAACTCTCGCGTATGGGATCATTAGTGAAATATTCGTGTGCAGCCGCCCATCACGGTTTAAACTCTCACGTCGGGTCGAGTGCTGAGACAATTCTGCTTCCTCTTGTTATGCTTGTTGCCACCATTGGTATATCCCACCGAGAAACTAACAAAAGATGAGAGCTTTTCTTTTATCGTCACACGAAGATGATACCATTTTTGGGGTGTTTTGTAGAAATATTAAAAGAGGATAAAAATATAGTTTGGATAAATTATAGAGAAAATAAAAATATGTTGTGTGCACGTGTTTTTTTAAATAAGGGAGTATTTATAGTTGAAAAATTAAAAAAATTTCATTTGGCCAACGGCTTAAAATTAGACCGTTGGGTGGGGGGTAATGTTCGTTTGCAACGTCAAATGTTTAGCGCAATAGCGCTAACACCGGGTTAACACGCCTGAGGGGCGGTGTTTCACGCCCCCATGGCGTTAAAACGTTAAACCCTGGGCGTTACAAGTGCTTCTAGTGCTCTTAGTAGACCAATTTAAGTGTTAAATGTTTATAAAACTAGGTATGTAGAAGTATAATGTGAAATATCACATGGCCAATAATAGTATTGTCACGTTCAAAAAAATAAAATAATAATCATATTGTTTTATACTACCTCGCCACAGTGTATTTGTCCAGTTTGACATTTTCGAGTCAAACTAGACAAATTTTGAGATCCAATTACTTTCAATTGTATTGCATATTAGTATAATTTAATACAATTTTAAAAGTTCTCAATGCGATAAATCTAATAAAAAAAATTTATATGCTAAAATACATTATAGAATTTATTTAATTGAAACTCAAATAGTATTTATTTAATTCAAACTAGTCTCATTTTCAATCATTTCCCTCATTTCATGATGTTTTAAAAAAAAATTGATTATTTTTTATATCATACAAATAATTTGAATATTTGGACCTATCTTCTGGAAGAAATTTAAAAAAAAAATATGAAAATGAAACAACAACTCAGTTGGATTTCACAAAGTAGAGCCTGGAGAGGGTGTGTCAGTGTGTGTATGCAGCAGACCTTGCTCTTAACCGAAAGTAGAGAGGCTGCTTCTATGAAAAAGGAAACAAAGTGAAGAAAAAAGAGAAACATAAATGAAAAAGAAACCAAAAAGTTAAAAAAATAGAATCATTTTGGAACACTCTTAAACTATAAGAAAAGTTGATCAAAAAATACTCCCTCCGTCTAAAACTTTCTTCCCAGAGCACTATTCCAACTTCACGGGAATTTATATTTATTTATGTTTTTTCATGGCCTATATGATAAAATAAAATATTCTTGTCACCACTTGTTTTGTTAAACTTTTGATGTAGTTTTTAAATATGTATGTTTTATTTTTTATTTCTATACCAATATTTAAATAAAATAGATTGAAAAAACTTGAGATTTTTCTTCGTTTTGCGCAACGGGAAGAAAGATATAGGACGGAGGGAGTAAATAAATAAGAAAAGTCAAAAGAGTCATCATATTGTGTTTGAATGCTTACCGTTTTTATTGCGCCATCTCCCACACCGAATTTCTAGCTCAAACCTGTTTTCTTAATAATTCCTCGGCTGAATACACCTTCTGCCAAGTTTCATGGTTTCATTGGGGTTATAACCGGTAACAGAGGGTACAAGGTTAAAGGATGGTGGGAATTCCTTTTAATAAGTAAATTTGAAATAAAAGTTTCACTTCTTTCATATAAAAAGGAATTGCCACCATCCTTTTCTTTGAGCCACTTTGACACCAATTTTTTTTTTCTTCTCGAGTCATGCTTTGTGTTTGACTCCTAAAGAGTGTGCTGCCACAATGGGCACACCAAGTAGTGTCAAAAGTTAAATACAATTAGGAGTGTGGGACTATAATGTGAAAGATCAAATGGCCAAATGTGACATTGTGTTATATACTTACTACCAATTAGTCTCACTTTCAATCATTTCCCTCACTTCATTAACAACCAAATGTGCTTTGTGCCCTCCGATCACCTCGCCATGCTTCTTCCCATTCTTCCACAGCTGTTAAGACCAATCGTTTTATCAAATCTAGTTGTTCATCAACATCAACCGAGGAATAGAGAAAAGAATTACCTGGATTGTTGGCATTTTCTGTCTCCGGTTGTTTTCGCGAGCAATTTGATCGATCCCCAATGAAATTGTTAAAGAAGAAATGCAGCACCAATTAGGTTCCCTATAAGCACTGAAGTAAGAACTGCGGTAGCGCATAAGGAGATGGAGGAGAAACTTACAGTGACTCCTGCACGCACAACGAGCTTGTGGGGACAGTTATTAACATCAACGCTGTAAAACCGCACACTACAACAACATGCATATATGAAACCAAAGATTCAGAATGTGATGGAATATGTCTTAAAGTTTAAACCCAAATGGGTTGCTGGATTTGGATTATACTCCTCAACGCTCCTTCAAGTAAAAGACCGTAAACTTAATGACGAGGACAGTTTCCTAACCTTGGGTAGTAATCAGCGGCTAACTTCTCCAATTTCGGTTTCAAAAATATACATTTTCTGCACCACATTGCCATCCTGAAAACCCAAGCAGCTTCCCAAATGTCAACTCACTTCAAACTTCTCTTTTAGCACAACATACAAGTATTGCAAATTTGCATGAAATTTTGGCAAAATGAGGTAATTTACAGAGTAGAACACAGTCCAATGTGTGCCTAACTGCCTATAGATACAAAACATCAGGAGTGCACTAGCTTGAAGTCTAGAACAGCACATTCACACAGTTCAAATCAATATGTTATCAGATAAGAATGAGGGCTTTGGTGTGGGAGACAAACCAAACAAGATAAACACTAAAAATCCCATTTCTTTCTACCAAACAAGGTAACATTAAAAGATTCCCTATACCACATAAACTGCGAAATCTTTATCTCCATTTCCATAACTAGAAAATTGGTGAAGTAATCTGCAGCTCAGATGATTTCAGGCATAACCTCCTCCATTGGAAGGGGAGCACAAACCCAGTACAATCCTACGTCCCAACTATGCTTGTCTGGGGGGTCAAAATGTACCTAATGTTGTTTCCCTTAGCCCTTGATGCATTTACTTCCAAAAAAACGTCATAAAAACCCCCCAAAGCAGCGAAATTGTTACCATAGAATGATTACTGATTCCCCTGCGGTGACCCCGTCGAACTGATCCTCGCCGGAAATAGGCTGCAAAGCAATAGACGCCGGCGAATCGCCGATGGCGTGAACAAATCCTTCTTCTTCGTCTTCTTCACACTTGGCTAGAGCTTCGATTTTTCCACCTCTTCGGTGGAATTTAATTGAAATCGGAGAGACAATATTTGGGTTCCAATCATTCGCTCTGATAAACTTGAGATTGGAGAAACAGAATGGGGTTTTTGCGCGCAGTAGATGCCCAATGTTACTATTGCTGGCCGGAGATGTTTGCAGTGCGCCGGGCATGTCGGGGTTTCTGTATTTCTTTGTGTGTGATTCCAATTTCCAAGGAGCAATCGATGAAAAAGTCTAATGGGGGATTTAAGGTACGTTTCACATGTGTAGCCAATAGAAGAAGGGTAGAGTAGTTGGCCAATTTTGGGGCAATGCTCTATGTCCGATGGAGTAAATCATGAAAAAAATTCAATTTGGTCCGTTAGAGAGGTTGTTCCGTGGGCACAAGAAGCTTTTACAGGATTTGATCTCAAGATCTATGAGTTTGACATAGTCCCTAGAACCAGTTGAGCTTACAACCAATTTTGGAGTTAGAACAATGTTTGGTTTTTTCTTTTTGTGATTTCAATGGGTATTTTATGTAACGGTAAGTCTAAAATGACACCAGTGCTACTGGTGTCATTTGCTTACACCAATTCGTTTAGGGTAACTACGGTGCTCCGTTTCTAAAACCGATGGTTCCTACCCCCCCTAACCCTCCCCCTAAACCCCCCACCCCAGCCCCACACTTGCCCCCCCCCCCACCCCAGCCCCCCCTCCCTACCGTGGCAGTATATTGCCTCGCAGTATACTACCAGGGTAGGAGGGGAGCGGGAGGGGGGGCTGGGGTGGGGGGGCAAGGGTGGGGGGTTTAGGGGGAGGGTTAGGGGGGCTAGGAACCGTCGTTTTTACAAACGGAGCACCGTAGGTACCCCAAACGAAGTGGTGTAAGCAACTGGTGTATAAGTAACTGGTGTCATTTTAGACGCTTTCTTTATGTAATGAAACTTATTTAGAACGAGAATTTTAATACTCGTAGATGTTAACGAATTTGGATATGTGTAGCATATGTTCTTTCATTCAATGATGATATTGCAAATACAATAACAAGTGTGGGTATAGATTGTACGATTCAAGATTATATCAAATGATTTTAGGCCCAATCCATAATATAAGAACTTTTTTTCACATAAAAGTCAGACCGATAGAATAGAAACGATTTTTGAGGGGGGGAAGGCTTTGGTTTTTTTTATTAAAAATTAATACGGAGTATTGTTTTGTGTTCATTAAAAAATGTTTTTTTTACTATAGAAGCTAATAATGTTATTAAGTTTGTAATTATTAAAAAATTGTTTTTTGTTGTGAAAAATATTTCAACAAAACATCAAAGTGGCTCCTTGTGCCTCTCAATTCACTACTGTTCACTTTAGTTCATTTCCTCATTACTTCGTTCTTCAAAAAATAAAATTCTTGTTCACTATTATTCGCTATTCCAACTAAAAACAAGGGAAATCACATTGAAAATTGCCACAAGACAAAATTCTCCATTCACATGTCTATTATAGCTTAACCTTCCAACAAGATACACACATAAGCCTTCAACTCTACTGTAATCTTTTGAAAAAATGCCAAAAAAAAAAAAGGTTTTTGCTCTCAACAAAAAAGAGAAAAAATTCCATCTATATATATATATATATATATATATATATATATATATATATATATATATATATATATATATATATGAACTGTGTCTGTGTGTCATTTGATTATTATGTACTACCCTGATGACTTGAGATCCCAAAGGGCACCTACAGAAAATATCACTGCTCTGTTATGATCACCTCATCCAGCCATTGAAGCTCTTCTGCACTGAGTTCCGGGGTTCGATCTTCGTGCCATAAACAATCCATCACCATCATCTCTTCTGAACCATCATCACTGCACTGAAAAATCTCTTCAGGATCGAAGAGTGCGAAACAATCGCTGAAATCCCATAGCTTTGCAGGCGAATCGCAGAGATTAATGTTATGATCATCAAAGCCCAAACTTTTCAAGTCATTGCCATCTCTGGCACTTTCCTCCAAGCCAAAGAAGATGAGTTCTTGATCCATCAAAGAGGACACCACATTGGCAGTGCTTTCTGATGAGGAACTTGAACAATTCTGTCTCTTTTCTGAAGCAAGATTATTATTAGGAGTATTATTATTTTTAATGATTCTTTCGATTTCTGCCTTTCTGGTGGCATAAGCACGGCCTGCGTCTTCGGCATTGACAAAAGTGCCCAGCCATTCTCTCTTCTTTGTTATTGGGTCTCTGATCTCCGCCGCGTATTTCCCCCATGCCCTTCTTCTAACTCCTTTGGGCAGATGCAAAATCGGTTCTTTTCGACTACCCAATATTCCATTGTCTTTGATTTTTGGTTTTTCTTGGAAAGGAATGATCACCTCCTTGACAATTCGACGAGAGCTTCTTCTTCTTGTTGTTCCATGAGGGCAGGAAAAATCTTCATCTGTGTCAGATTCTGTTGCATCTGGATCTTCGCAGATTATCTTTACCTTTCTCACACAGCTGAAATCACTCTTTCCACTCTTCTTCTCCTTCATAACTGATCAGTTCGAGTTTATGACCATATTACAAGGAATTCAAGATTCTTCAAGTCCCCAGATTTTGTGGAACCCAGTTGAAGAATATTCCAACAATACCAGAACAGGTCCTGCAAGCAATTAAAGCAAAAACCCACCACAGAACCACCCATTAATGGCACATCCCGAAATTTCAAACCAAAAAAAACAATTGGAAGATTAATTTCTTGGATTTGCTCACAAGTACAGCCATCACTCGCTCATTGGGTACTAAAAAGATTCAATTTTTGAGCCAAAATTAACACAAAAGTGAAAGATTTCTCCCTTTCTGCATACTACATTGGACGTACCTTTCAAGAAGAAGAAGAAAGTGAGATTCTTGATGGAAAAAAAAAGAGACCGATCAGAAAGACACAGATGGGTGAAGAATTCTGATCCAAGAAGAAGAAGAAGAAGAAGAAGATAATTAAGAAATTTATGATTTGGAAAAGGGATTGAAGGGTCAAGAGAATACATAGAATTTTGAAAATATCTAAATCTGTATTCTTTCCTAATATGCTCCATCAGAATTTCCTAATCTCCTGAGATTTTCCTTTCTTTCTTTAAAAAAAATAAAATTTCTGTTTTAGAATTCGTCCCGCCGGTGCACTCTGTCGAGAGAGTCTGGCCTTTCCCAATGCACAATCGCATTGAAGAAAGTATTATGGCAACTCCGGCCGCCAAGAAGTTCACTTCCCGCCCTTTTGGAAAATCAATATGATCCTGTTTTTTTATTAAATGAATAATTTTTTTTCTCGAGATAAAAAAAATGTGCTCGTCTAATTTCATTCTTTCCATTTAAATTAGATAAATTTGATTATCAATTAAATGAAACTATATTACATGTTAATGCAAAAAATATTTTATTGATTTATCTTGTATAAGATTTAAAAAAACTATCATTGAATTAATATGCAATGCAAATTTAACATACTTCATTTGTCCGAAAATATTCTTCTCACTCTCTTTTTTAGCCCGTCCGAAAATATTCTTTATATTTCCTTTTTAGAATCTTTTTAAGGATAAATTTTAATAATACCTTTATATTTTATCTTTTATCTGCTTTTTAGTTGTTTTTTAATACTCCCTCCGTCCCAAATTATAATGTCTGTTCACTATTCACAGGGTCAAACTTCATTCACTTTCTTTCTCTATTTTCGTTAGCAATTTGATAAAATAAAATATTGTTGTCACTACTAGTTTTGTAGATCTTTTGATGTAAAATTTTGATATGTAATTTTTATTTTTTAACTCTATACCATTTGTCATATAAAATGATTTGAAAATAACTTTAGTCAAACATCGTAAACCGAAACAGGCGTTATAAAATGGGACGGGGGAGTAAGAAAATGAGATTTCAAAGTTTATAGTATGTGCATTATTGAAAATTTGACACTTTTATTATTATTCCATAATAAGACACGAGAAGAACATTCCCAGACGAAGAAAGTAACTCATAAATAAAGTTCATTCTGTTAGACATCAAAAAAGTCAAACTCGACGAACGTTCTAAGATGGTTGAAATATTTTCTTAGTTTTTATTTTATTTTTAAAGTTATAGAGTTTGATAAAATAAGAAGTGAAATTTGCAAACAATATGATTAAAAATTATGTCATTTCCCTAAATAAATAAGGCTGAGTGGTAGGAAGTCCACTCCCCAACATTTATGGAAAAGTTCACCTAAGTTCGAGCCCTAGCGGAGGGTTGATTCTTTGTACGTCATTAGGCTGAAAATAGTATGTACAGATAGGGGAGTCCAAGAACCGCGGGTCGAGACCGAACTGCACGATTCAGGTCGAGTTATAGGCGGGTCCAATATTTTATTTTCTAAAACGGGGCGAGGCAGGCCGGTTCCTATGTAAAAGCAGGACGGGCTGTTCTCAAAATTTTAAATTTATTAAATCGGGACCACCCGTTTAACGTTAAAAAATAATACATTTTATAATTGGTAGTCTTTTCAAAGCGTTAATGATAATGCCAAGCGGGACATATATTAGTATATACGGGACAATCGACCATTTAATTTGGTAGACTATATATTTGGAAAAAATTAATAACCTAGAATTTTGGACCCGTGGACTCGTGAAATCGACCCGTTTCAAGCAAGCCGGGTTAGGACCGATTTCAATTTTTATTTTCAACGACCCGTCCCGACCCTTCTCGTATCTATAAAAGCAAGCTCGGCCTAGGTTTGTAAAAAATTGGCCCGAACCAACTCGTGTCCACCCCTAGGTGATACTCCTATAAAATAAGTTGAGAGGCTAGAGATTAAACATTTTAAAGGGGAAGCAAGACAATGAAGAATTAGAGCAAATTGATTAGGCAAACGTTACAATTGTATGGGTAAGTAGTTTATCAATAATATAATCCCTAACATAAGAGCATCTAGAAGTGGAAGATTAAAGAAGTAAGACTTTTCCCAGAGTGATTCTTTAGTTGTTTTGTGAATTTATTTGAGTAATTTTGTGTCCAAACTTGTATGTGTCTCCTTTTCACATCAACTTGTTGGACTATACTTATTATTGTGTCCTCTACTTGTTTTTTTGTTGAAAATCAATAAATATTATATTAGATTAATAATAAAGTTTGGGGTACATCAACCCATACACCCATGCTCTGAGAAGAATATAAGGCTTGCGCTAATACATGTGCAGCCTCATTAGCAGAGCAAGAAATAACAGTAAACTATAAGTCCCCATCACATAGGGCACGTAGACTTTTACAGTCATCAATGATAGAATTAAAATAAGACCAATCAGTATCATGATTATTCAAAGCGACTTCCACATCCTTGCAATCATTCTCTACAATGACTTTCTCCCAATGCATGAACTTTATCCAGCTTAAAGCCTCTTTCACAGAAACTGCTTCTGCCTCTCTCACTCTGTAGCTTCCTCTAAGACATTTATTTTTTGCTTAATAAAGTGACAGTCATAATGTCTGGCAATTATTCCAATACCCACAGCTCCATCCTCAAGCCCTACCAACGCGAGGTTTTTCTCTGGTGTAGTTGTCTTCAACACTTGCTCGTCTTTCTAGTCCTGGGCCAATCACTCTCTACCATTCCTCAAACTGCATCATTGCTTTCATCCACGTTCTCAAAGGTGAAGGAACTTGTTTTAATTAGGCATGGGTAAGTACATACACTTCTCCGCGCCCCATTTTATGAGATTTAACTAGATTCATTGTTGTAGTCTTATTGCATTATTTCTTTTTTAATTTTAATTATACTGAGTAATTGTCTATTTAAAAAAACAAGTCTACAGGATACTATAGAAAACGTTATTTGCCTTTTGGGGCTTTATGTTCATTTGTACCCATTGGGTACGGTACACACAAGGATGGAGTGGTCATTTTGTTTTGTTTTTCTTTTCTTTTTTTTTTCCTTATATTTTGTGGGTTTTTTTTGTCTTGTTTCATTTTTCTTCTCTAGCATTGAGTTTGTTCCTCCTTACTATTCTAGTATTTCTTTATTTAATTAATGCATTTTTATTTTTCAAAAAAAAAAAAAAAGTGGACATATGGTACTAGAGATATCCCCTCAATTTTTCAACAAAATGTTATACACCAGACTGTTTCAAACAGATTCAAGCAAGGACAAGGCCATATTCATTTTAATCAACAAAGGAGAAACTCTCTCACTACCAGTCATGTCTCTATAGATGGTATGTAATCGTGTTGTACCCTTTGCGCCTAAAAATAAAACCTTTTGGTGTTGATGCACGCGAGACGCAGTCACAACTCACAAGTTATCGTGGCGTGATGTAGGAAAGTGAAGACCACCTTTGACATGGTTTGTTGCTGTTGGGCATAGCCATTTCAGCATGTTTGGACCTAAAACCTGGTTTTACAAAGTAAATGTTTCACAGACCCAACATCTTTCATGAAACACCAAACATCGATGGAATAAGAGAGAGAGAGAGAGAGAGAGAGAGAGAGAGAATACCAGAATTATGTTTCTGTGAGTTCCAACATCAAAGGCATGACGATAGGCCACCCCTGATTTTCTAGCCAACCAAGCTGCTCTACTTGCCTCGCGGTACTACAATAAGAAATGAAGAATACCATCAATTCATCATCATAAACCAATCGATACCACCCTAAAAAGAAAGAGAGAGATAGAGAGAGAGAGAGAGAGAGAGAGAAGACCTCTATGGTTGTGAGATTATGAGAAGTGAGGTAGATGTGCCAGGCTAGGAGACTTCCTAGTGTCACGGTTAAGCCGACAATCATAACTCCACTTGAGACCTGAAAATCTTAGTGCCCAAGAGCTTCCGTCACAATTTCATGTTTCACTAGACTTCCCCATCATGACACACAAATATATTACTATCACTTGTGATCTTCATTACTAAATAACAGGGTGCAAATCAGCAAGGAGAATCGTGACTGTATCAATTGTATATATTTCAAAAATTGTTTTAATGTTATGTGGCACGGAACCCTACTACAATTTGAGATATCCTAAGCTTCTCTTCTCTGCACAATGACCAAATGGACTGTCTAGATACAATTCGATTAGAGCTCTGAAGGGTAGTTAGTTAAGGGCTTGTATGGTTGGAGTATTTTGGAGGGGAGTGCAGGATTGATTTTGTTTATAATAAATTTATCTATTTGTTAGTATTAAAATATGCAATAGCTAAATGTAAAAGTAAATTACTATAATAAAATTGAATATCACCGCTCCTCCCCACAATTCCCCAACCAAATAAGGGCTAAGAGACCAGATTTAACACATTTTAGTCTATTTGAGTTTTAATAGGAAAATCTTACAAAGCCTTGTGAAGCTAAAATTAGAAGAGAACTTAGAATGAAAGAATAATTGGGAGAATGTTATTAGCAGATTAGTTTTGTCTCATCAAGCTTCTCTGAGATAATTGAAGCAAATTAACAGCCAATGCACTACGAATTCTATTCATAGCAATATACCGTATCTTTTTTAAAAACTCACATAAAACATCCTGAGAGGACTCCATCCACTGACATCAACAGACGTCCAATCTTTATCCACCATGCTGCTTATCAACATAATCTAAGAAGGTTACAAAGTTTCACATTAATCATTTAAACGAAAAAAAGGATCACAGATATCAACAAGACGAGTAGTAAAGGATCAAGTCAGCTAACCGAAGAATAGGTAGTGGTGATGGTAGAATAAAAGACTAGAAGAACAAAGGGCTTGTAATTCCGATGGCCTACACAATTATTTATCCAGAGACAGTGATGATCCTGCAATGGAAATCTTGTACCAGATCAGGTTATAATAAGATTCATCGTCGACAGTCGAATCAGTACACATAAAAAAAATTGTTATGAACATTTACCATCCTCAAAATACATATTCCGCAGATGCGGCAATGATGAGCCCTAGGAGGCTTGTACACCAAACACTTGTCACACTTCCTTGCTTGTATTCCCTGAATGCATAGTATACTGTATATGTAAGAACCTTCCCATCTCTGCTCTGAATATCCCATCCCCACCTACCCTAGCCTAGTCTATGCCCTAGGCTTTCCCTGGCGGCCTACTCTTTTTGTTTCAAATTGACCCTGCACAGACCCTCACCCCACCTTGGAGAAAAATCCAAACCTGACTGCTTTTTAGAACATTGTTTCCAAGTTCCAACATTTAGGGTACATGTAGGAAAGGCAAGCATGAAGAAATTGGATCATTTAGAGTGGGGGCAGTGAGATTAGACCTATTGCACCAATGCCATTGACAGTCTTATCCGGTTACACCACTAGTTAACTGCTTGAATTGCTCTCCTAGATACAATTTCTCTCACGCCTGCACATATTCTCTGAGTGTGTGTGTGTGGCTTATTCTATATCATGATAAATATTGTGTGCCCATTATACAATTCTTGTTTTCGTTTTTGAGTTGTTACAAAACCTTCTCCGATGACTAATACTATTTCTCTCACTTCTACAGAAATTTCTACCACAAAATTTCTCTTTCAACTTTTCAAAAAAAAAACAAGCTAAGTCAAATAGTAAACATAATTACGGGGCGGAGGGAGTAAAATGTTTCTAAGAACGAGTAAAAGACGAACTCAAACGGTCATTGATGACATATTATGTTTAGCTTTAGTTTTTAAAAAAAGTTAAAATTTAATATAAGCTCCAGAGTAAAGTCATCAACAACAAATCTAGTATAATCCGAACTTCCTTGGGGTACGAGGGGTCAAGATGTACACAACCTTATCCCGGTAAAAGAAACACAGAGGTTGTGTAAGATATAAGTCCTAATGTCTTACAAAATATAGGAGCAAACCTTTTTCACAAATATAGATTAAGCCCAGACACTAAGTCCTATATTGAGTATATTCTCTACAATAGGCATACCCATGTTTTGTGTCTTACTTAGTACTCATGCCCATGCGTGTAGGAATATTCACTTCCATTTGATTTGTTTCCCTAGTTATTTTGTTACTATCAAACACCAAAGTAAAAAAAGGAGGGGCACAAACCACTTAACCAAATCCTTCAATATAGATTGAACAAGATGTCATAATGGGGGAGATCATGTTTGAAAGATGAACAAAGAAGACAAAACCCCTCACATTGATATAGACTTTTCAAATTTTTTAATAGTTCCATTATTTCTCTAATATTTTCTTAACCAGTGGTTTTCACAAACAGTCTATATACACTCCCTACTCCTAGCGGTTAGAGGTAAGCTCATGCATAAATCATAGTCCCTCCGTCCACAAATAAACTTTCCGTTCGCTATTCACATAGTCAAACTTTAGTCACTTTGTTGGCCTATTTTCGTCACCAATTTGATAAAATAATATAGTCATGTCACCTCTAGTTTCGTAGATCTTTTGATATAGTTTTTTGATATGTAATTTTTATGTTTAAATTTTACACCATTTTTCATATAAAATGATTCGAAAATAATTTCAGTCAAACATCGTAACGCGCAACGGGAAGTTTATCTGTGTACTTATCGCTTATGTTTGGTTTGGTTTAACCTGCAAATGTCCCCAAACTATACATAGTTGGCCAGAACAGTCTTTTTTAAAATTTACCCACTGCTCCCAATCCCTCAATGTGAAAGTGCTATTCAGCAAACCGAACACCACAACTGTAAAGTTCACTACTTCCATAAGAGCGGCGGCTAATTCTTCTTCTTTATAACACTAATATTATGATCCAATAAAAGTGAAGGAATTTCATGGCAAGCTTGTGGAAGACATTGAAAGTGGGGAATTGGTGGAATTTTCCAACCAAAAAGAAACGGAGATCTTCCTGCCTTATTAGTTATTCTAAATACAAAACCAAACAAATCCTTGTTGAGAAAAATGCAAATTGTTACCCAAAACTCATTCATTTCCCCACACGACCTATCTTTCTACTACAATGTAACAAATTGATAAACATGTGATCGTGCAAAATATTGTTCATTCAAGCCCAGAAGGAGAAATTCATTAAATATGACAATAACTGATGTGAGAAAGTGCAGAAAATAGGTCAAAATACGCACAGTTTTGCCGGATTCATAGCCGGAAGGTTGAGATTCTTCAACATCAGGCACATATGATGAGGGGACGCCGCCTGGGTCCTTAAGAACACAGACGATGTAGGAGAAGAGGGATAGAGAAGCGAGGAAAGTGAAGAGGAGAGCGTTCAACGAGCCAGCAGAGCTCCGCAAGCTCAACCAGTCCTCAATGAAGATGAACACTGTCACGTAATACAAAACCCCCATCAACATTAAAACTGATAGTATTGGAATCGATAGAAATCTTCTGAGTTTCATCGCCGCAGCAACACAACTCTCTCTCTCTCGCGCGGCTAGAACGAACGATCTGATAGACACCTTTATACTTTTCCGTCATTTTATTCCTCTCCCAAAAATTATCATTCCCAAATTACCAAATTATAATGCCTAATTTTTAATCTCCTGAATAATGATTGTCAAAGCAACATTAAAACTTATATTGATTTTCTAAATTGATATTCCCTTCGTCCCAAAAAATCTATCTAGTTTCTTTTTTCGCACATCCCATAAAAAATTTTTATATTGTCTTAAATGTCAAAAAAAACTTCCAAAATACCTTCTACCCATAATAAAGGGTAAATGTGGTAAATTGTAGGCATTTTAGATATGAGTATAAGTGTTTTTGATGCACAAAAAATGAAACGAGTCGACTTTTTTGAGACGGAGGGAATATTATATAATTGAGTACGGAGTATTTTTTAAATTTGTCTATTTTCTATGTAAGAACTCATTTAGTATAAAAAACCAAAGTATTCTTCTTTCCTTTTAATTGATTCATAGTGTTTGAGTAAATCCACATAACTGCATATCATTTTAAAAGGAAAAAATGTCTTATTAAGTTCTTATACTTTTTTAAAAAAATACTCCTCATGTCTTTAAGTTATTTAAGTGTTTGTCTGGTCCTTATCATTTCCAACTGGTACACAAAATTGTTCCATCAATGATTTTTCGGACCAAAAGTCCGACATACTATCCTTTTTTCTTTAAAAGAAATGTTATTCTCTTTTTATCCATTTTTTTTTTAAATTTTATTCTCGTTTTACCATTCACTTACTAGTCCTCCACTTTTTTTCAAGTGTTCCCTAAATCCATATACTTATTGGGTTATTGACTATTGCATAAGTATTCATTTCAAGTTTTTCTATCCAAAACCTCTGGCATAACATTTTTTTTAAAGAACGATATTTTATCTTTTATTGTTTTTTAAATATAATATACTTATTTTGACTCAAGATGTATATGTATTTAGAGAGCAATTTTTGAAAAATAGAGATTTAATAAGTGATGGACAAAAAATGAATACAAACATTTAAAAAAATAGACAATCAACCAGAGTTTTGGCCGAAAAAATTGGAGAGATTATTTGTATACAGACTTGATAAGTACTTAAAATAATTTAGGCACTTGAATTACACTTTTAAAAAAATATAGGAACCTAAGAGCATCACTAAACGATTCCTCCTTTATTCCCCTCCACATTATTAATTTTTAATGCCACATAATGTTTTTATAACTTCCTTCACCACATTCTATTCATTTATCCATTTTTCCTCTTTACCTTTTATTATTTTTGGGCCCCTATGTTTTTTATCAAAACATTTATTTTATCTATATTTTTTATTTCATGAAAAAATTTCATTCTCAATATTTTTTATTTCAATAAATATTTTTAAATATTTGATCCAAAAAAATTAGCTTGTTCAATTTTTTAAATTTTAATTATTGCTTTTCGATATTTTTTTAATTTAAATTTTTAATTGTTTGGTTCAATAAAAATAAGTAAGTTTTTGATACCATTTTTTGCTACGTATTATTTTTAAATAGTTTTTTTGTTTTTTACACTACTTTATTACTCCGTAGTATATTGAACAAAAAAAATTAAAATGCACATGATACTCCCTCCGTCCTAAAACTTTCTTCTCGGTTTGACTTTTCCCCATTTTTAATTTTTGGCTTTGACTTCAAATTTTACCCTTCTTAAAAAAGATTTTTTGCAATTTTTTTTGCAATCATTCAAAATATAGAGTTAGAAGATAATTGGTGTAAATACATGAGGGTATTAATGTCATTTGTCATTTTTTTTTTCTAATGGGAAGGTAGTTTTAGGACGGAGAAAAAGGGGAAGTGAGAAGAAAGTTTTAGGACGGAGGGAGTATAAAAATTGGTAATTATAGAAAAAACAAAAATAATTTTGAATTCGAAATGCTAAAAAAGGTAATACTTAGGGGAATTCAAAAAAAAATTTTAAATTCAAATGTTATTTTGTGATATTCCTTCTTTTTCAACACTATTCGGCTATCCTGCTTTCGATTCATTTATTTCCTTCTTGCCATCTCCTTTTTCTTAAATCCACAGTAATTACAGCAAATTTTGGGATTGAAAATAGGTAATTACTGTTGGGATTCTAAGCGCGTAAGACACCGAAAATATTGAGAACTACAGAAAAATGATAGATTAAACACATGAATAATATATCAGAGAAAAAATTATATTTCTACTATTTCAGGACAATATATGAAAAAACTCTCTCCCTGTTTCAAGACAATATTTCTCCTATGTTCGGATGTATTTTTTCTGAGTAACTAAAACAAGTTGTTTCCTACACTCACCCACTCTCAACAAGACCCCTTGGATTTTCCCGGTGGTATTCTTGTGTAGAACCATCTTCCTCTTCTCTCTCTACCCAGGTGTGTAAACCACACACTCACAAAGTTCTCACTATACCCATGATAAAACAATACCCATCAATCAATTATGATGCCTCATCACCAAGAAGAACACATCGTCTTTGTACAATAAACATGGCCACAAATTGATGAGCTTGTACTCCATATTATTTTATTATTTAGTGCATTCCCCTTAGTCATAAAACCACTAAGCAATGATGCATAAGTTTTTGTCATAGTGTGAACCTTGAACCTTTCTTTTTCTTTGTTTCCTTTTGAATATTTAATCAACTATTCCTAGCAAACTCCACATTGATTAAATAATCAAAACCGTTGTAGTTCCACCTCACTTGTCCCATGAGATCACCGATATTCCGAAAAAAAATCCCCTAGGGCCCACCTCGATTTGCTCCATCGAGATCACTGTCGCCATGAAAATTTTCCGATGATTCTATCTTGCTCAATACCGCAAGATTTCCGCCACCCTTTGTTGTCTCCATGTTAGAGTACATCCCACATCGGAAATCCAAGAGTAAAATAATCGGTATATAAGCTCTAGAGTTGAACTAAGTAATCGATTGGATTCAATCTTTTAATGTGGTTCAACCCAAGTGTCTTATAGCCCAATCTAGTGTTCCATACCCATCTTAAATTCTATCATGGTATCAGAGCCAGTTTTAGCCAACCTCGTTTGTCAAGGTGTCCGTCTAGATGTCTGTGGCATGTTTAACACGATTGCTCGTCTGGAAGTCCATACCCAGTGGCTCGTGGTCCTTTAGGTGTTGGCGCTCAAAAAAAAAGAGTCAAGGGAATGGGAGTTCATCTGCAAGTGGTCAACAGGTTAGATTCAAAATGGCCCGGTTGTCCACTTGAGGGGGAGTGTTAGAGTACATCCCACATCGGAAATTCAAGAGTAAAATAATCGGTATATAAGCTCTAGAGTTGAACTAAGTAATCGATTGGATTCAATCTTTTAATGTGGTTCAACCCAAGTGTCTTATAGCCCAATCTAGTGTTCCATACCCATCTTAAATTCTATCACTCCATGGCCCCATCGTGTTCAATACCACAAGGTCTCTGCCACTTCCAGTCGCCGTTGTACTCGTGACTCCATCTCGACCAGCTCGTCAAAAGCATCGCCACTATCTTAGCTCTGTGGAGTTTAAACCCTCCACCTCGAGCAAAAAAAAAATAACAACTCACCTTTGTTAACACTCTCTAAGACCACCCCTCTAGCTATTAGCTTCTTTTGATCCGCCCATCTTGCACCGCCGCCGCAACATCTGCGTGACATGCCGCCCGACCTCTTCTTGCCGGAAAGACTTTCGACACAAGACATAAGCCGTATTTTTTCACTCTGCTAGACCACCGATCTCCTCATGTCCTGTTCCCGCACCATACTTCACAAAGTGAGCATGCAGCTTCGAACCGAGTCCTCATGCCTTCCACTTTGTTTTTGAAGTACCATGGTCGCCGCCTTCTGACAAAAACCTACAAGTCCCTGGTGTTCTCAAATTTTCTCCCTTTTACCACTTACAAATCCATCCTGCCCAGCGCAACCAAGCTCCGATACCAATTGTTGGGATTTTAAGCGCGTAAGACACCGAAAATATTGAGAACTACAGAAAAATGAGAGATTAAACACAAAAAGAATATATCAGAGAAAAAAATTATATTTCCACTATTTCAGAACAATATACTCCCTCTGTCCGAAAATAATCTTCCTGTTTCTCCTTTTTTCTCGTTCGGAAAAAATCTTTCCATTTCTAATTTTAACCCTTATTCTTCCAAAACTACCCTTCTCATTAAATAACCTTTCTTTCCTTTTTTTCCTTTTCTTCCTATTCTTCTCTTCTTTCTTTTTCTTTCCTCCTCCACTTCTCTATCTTTTTTCTCCGCCTCATCTCTCCATCTCCTCGTCACTTTAATTTCTTCCATTCATTTTTCGTCTACCTCATCTCTTCCTCCTCCTTTCTCAGACTTTCTCTTCTCCTCTCTCTCTCCCTCTTGATTCTTCCTTCTCTTTCTTCGATTCTTCTCTTCCTTCAATTCTCCTCTCTCTCCCCCTCCATCATTCTTCCCTCCTCCTTTCCTCTCCGTCTTTCTTCCAAATCTGGGCTATGGCGGCAATAGTGGCGGCGATTGTGGCGGCTAACGTGATGGTGAGTGTAGATCTATACTACTACTCATTATTTCTTATAGATCTACACCACCACCCCTTTCTCTTTGTATTTATTTTAGATCTGTTCCATGGTAGCTGTGATGGTGGTACATGGGACAGTGTTGGGGCTGACCATGGTGGTGGGGATGCCAACGGTGGTGGGGCTGGCGGCGATAAAAAGATTGATGGTGGTGGCAAGGGCTGGGCTAGCGGTGGTGCTGGGGGCTAGGGAAGATGTCGGAGCACCGGCGGTGAAGGGGTAGTGGTAGGGCTCAAGTTGGCAGTGGGAGCTGGCGAATGTCAGAACCAGGGACGGCCAACTTCCTCATTCATTCACTAGCCTTTTAAGGGCATTTTAGTCATTTCAACTCATAAGTCAACCATTCAAAAAAATGAGAAATAGTCCAAATGGGAAGGTTTTTTCCGGACGGAGGGAGTACAAAAAACTCTCTCCCTATTTACAAGGCTAAATTCCAGATACTCATAAACAGATCTTTCCACATCTTATGCCCGGATGTATTTTTTCTGAGTAACTAAAATCAGTTACTCCCTACACTCACCCACTCTCAC